TTTATCTTGTTGCGTTTTTAACTTATAAACAACTAATTACTCAGTAAAACCAAATCGTTAACCATCCCAACAATGCTGTTAAAAATAACCCTCTAAACCACTTTTACCCCATTTTCACCTTTTGAAATTTAGTTATCCACAAACAAGCTCGTGTTGATCAAACAGAAGTTGCCACGGGAAACCAGTAATAAAACTTCCGGAAAATTCATCTATCATCAATTTCACTTGTTGTCATGAAACGCTTTGCACGTAAATAACTTCAAATGGTGAGCGGTAAAGAGTTTCGCAACACTTTAAAAAAACCTCTGCCAAATGCTAAGGAAACTGATAAATCTTGTAGGGTAGTTCCAGCGTTTACAATTCAAGCGTTCCAAAAAGGTAAGTCTTGAATCTATTTGTATTGAGGGAAGACAAGGAAATTGATTAATTAGGGACTTGTGTAAATCCTCCTCCGAAATGCAACGCTTTTAAAGAAGTTGAACCCAAGGGGGGCAAGAAGTTCCGAATGAACTACAAGAGAGGAAACTTACCGATTGCTCTAGAAGCAAAAGGGGGGAAAGTTTCATGGAAGGTGATTCACTTGAGATTGCAAAATTTAGTCGAAAAGCGTTTGCTGCATTCTAGGCAGATGTTAATAAATTAGACTTCCACTACTACTTGCCGATGTTTTTCGAAGGACTTTGCGAAACTGAAAATCCATACAAATTATTTGCACAACAGGGAATTCATGATATGCTTACTCACGGAGGGCAGAAGATTTTCCCTTGCATTCCTCAGTTGATTATCCCCATAAAAGGTAAGTTTGGGCTAACAATTATTTTTTTTAATCACCGCACTTTTTAATAGACGCTCTCAAAACGAAAAACAAAGAAGTCATGTGCTCCACCCTCAAGGTGCTTCAGCATTTAGTGAGAGCCGGAGACATGATTGGCGAGGCTCTTGTTCCATATTACCGACAAATTTTACCCACATTGAATTTGTTTAAAGAAAAAAACGGCAAGTAGTTTTTTGGAGAAAATCCAGTCGCGAAACTTACAGTACTTTTTCAGTTAATTGCGGTGACGAAATAGATTACAGCCAGATGAGAGGGGATAATTTAGCAGACATCATAAACGATACCTTAGAAATATTGGAGCGATATGGAGGAGAAGACGCTTTTATCAACATCAAATACCTAATCCCTACCTATGAATCATGTATGCTGAACTAAAAAGAAAATAGATTATTACTGATTATAGTGGCATTAAATTGAAGTCAATGAGTAAATAATTTATAGAAAGACAATAGTATATTATATACCTAGGTCGAGAAGTAGGCCATTATATACCGAGCACTTCGCAGGTTATTAGTTAAAAAAAATGTATGTCCAGAACCTACACTTTTTGGATAAATATTGTAATCCGGAATTTCGCACTGTTTACTTTTTGACATAAGATGTTCCATGAGTGTTGGGTTTGGCCAATTATCGGTTATAAATTGGAAAAAACACTACTTTTACTTATGCCCAGAAAAATGTGTCCTTTTATTCCTTTCTGCAGAAACAAAAAAGGAGTAAAAACCTCGTCAACTGATTCTACATATATATATATATATTTATTTTGCTAATAAAGAAATACCGCGAACACTGTAACGACGCAAAATATTGTATCCTGGAAAAAAAACATCGGTATTTTAGGCTATTCAGGAAATCTTTGGTTGACTATTTACTCACGTTCATGAAAATCTCACTGCAACACGTATCGATTTCTGAGTCCCAAATGCACCTCACGCCTGATTTCACTCCTTGGCCCTTCCGTTCCCCAATCACCACTTGCACTATGTGTCTATATCTTTTCATTTCTATATCTAACAGAAGTAAACTTCGGATTTTAGCTACAAAATTGAAAACTAGGCTGCTTTATTTACCTTTAACTTTTTCATTTATTTCATTTGCCATTTGTATGGTCCATTTCTTTGCAATATCTGCATCATATGATTTGCCTTCTAGAGTATTGAACTGGACGTTTCGGATTATGGTTTTTACTGGCACTTCTTTAAAGCTAGGTGGAAAACAAGGGGAATTTAACAACGATGTAAATAATTTGGCTTTATTTATTTACTATTATTGCTTTCAGTAGCAACTATGTGAATTGTGTAGTGTTTGAGCAGATACTCACATGTCTTGAAAGCTTGGCTTGATCTGATACGAGTTCTGAGGCGTAACTGATTCATGACTGAGTTGCTTCATTTCTTCTACAGCGTAGCTTGAGTATATCGATCCATTTGCTTGCGATGATGGTCCCCGTATTGTTGCCTGAGAAATCGCATCTTCTGGCTCCACGTCGTCTTCCCTATCTTCAGCCATAATTCAAGTAAGATATAACTTATATTCAGTAATTTACGTTATTTTTTTCACTTCTGAGTATGAGCTATATAAACAATGTGTAAACAAAAAGTATTGAGCGAAGTGTGGTTATGTGTATTTGTTGGCACTGCAGAAGATTCGTTGTCATAGATACGCGCACAGAATATCCGGATATTCTGTGGATAAGCGATAGTTAGTTGTATGTGTGGTAGTCTAGATATATACTTTCATATGCAAGGATCTTGACAGCTCTGGCTCCGGTCACTGGCGCGCAGTTTGAAAATTTACATTTAGGGCCTTGCATTATTTTTGTAAAACAAATTGCATTAAGTTTCCTAAATGGTATTGGAAAGAGAGTTTTTAAAGTCCGTTCCCATTTGTCTGCAGCAACACTTCCCCAAATGTGTTGATGGAAAGCAAAAATGAACAAAGATTTAACATATTTTGGGGCAACGAATATTTAAAACAAATAATAAGTATATGTATTTAGTCAAATTTTACCCTCATCTATGATGATCATTTTTATTTTGCACTTTACTTTTGCTGCTGAACTTTTGAGATTCTCCTCAAGTCAGCCTTAACTGATAAAAATAGACATTGGCAGCTAGCTAGATGATTATTTCGAGTAAGTTCCTTGCTTCTAAAATATTTTAATTCGTTAGATCACGAGTGATTGTAGAAGTAGCAAGTTTAAAAAAATTAAACAATTTAAAGTCGCCGTTTCCATATACGTTTGATCGTTAAACTTTAACGTGCCAACAACCGTGTTCCACCCTGTATATGTTATGTTCTTCCACAATTATACTCTTAATCATAATTTAACATATACATTATATAAGGAAATGAGCATTGCTTGTGCCAGAAACCCATCCTAATCTTGCCTGCAAAACGAAATAAAACTGATTGGTGACTTTTTTAAATTTATTTATTTAATCTAAGTTACACCGTTCTGAACAGGGGACTCAAAGTGGGTGAATTTCTTGATAAGTTCTACATTATTAAACACGAAGGACTTGACTTTGCGGCATTTTTTTTGGATGTAGCCAATTTTGTCTTTTAGTTGTTCCTCGCTAAGTGGCAATGTTAATCGTATATTCTCTGAAACAAAATTTATTCAAGATATACGGCGTATCGATGCTAAAATGCATTTAGATATATTTTTTTAAAGCTCTATTGTGTCAATGAAGAAGCTGGGATTTTTCACACTTTCAACATAGCTGAAGATAGTCATTTTAAACAGTTCTTGCGGAAGAAGCTTTGCTTCTCAAATTCAAGAGGTTTTCCAAAAGTTAACAAAAACAAAAAATTTCTGGAATCGTCCATGGAATTGCCGTTCGGCCTTTGGGAGTCTCTGACCAGCAAGAAATTTCACAGCTTTCTTATAAGGCAGGTTTGAGATTAATGTTCACCATCCAAAATACAAATCCAGTTGAAAACTTACCCAGAGTTTTGAATTGCAAGTTTGCAAGTCTTTCCAAACATTGGCAACAATCGACGTAACAAGATTCCTTATAATTCGGGTAGTTCCAGGTAAATGTTATCAAAGGATAATGCTTTTGAATGATTTTCTTAAACTGCTCATCCCGCATTGGTTTGTCCACATTTAGATTCACGGTGGCTCTTGGGAGGTAAACGAAAAACATTTCCCACTGGCTTTCCCGCACTATGGATATCGTATCGAGTTTCCGGATTGTATCATCCATATATAAATTCAACGTTTTGAGCTTGCAAATCCTCACTTGCAGCTGCAAGTCAAATTGGCATAAGAAATAATTAATTTTCAGCCAAACTGATTTCAAGCAAAACTTACTATGCAAACCTTGTTGAAAAATAGTAGAAATATCCAGCAGTCAATAGTGAGAGTCTCCAAGTTGTAGAACATTTCCACGGAGTTTGCGAAATTCCAGCTATCAAAGTATTTGCGCGAGTTGTAGGTGGAGTAGTGAAGAGCGATGTGTTTGATGGTTGATTTGGATCTTAGGCAAGCCATCAAGAGATTGCTGAAGTTCATTTCGTTCATGTTGGCGTTTATTAAAGTGAGGCTTTCCAATCGATTTTGCTGTCTGAAACGTAGCTGATTAAGCAAAAAGTTTGAAATTTACCGTGTACTTACTTAAGGAACCGCATTAGCAGATAGCAGAGCTTTTTAAGTTGGTAAATATCGTACCACTCGTGGATCACCAGATGTTTGACTTGAACAAAGCGCTCAAATAGCAGAATCAGAAATCTTCCAACTCTCTTCACGGTTTCCTTGTGTCGCAAGCAAAACACTTTTTCACTCAGGACATACGGAACGCTCCATCCTATTTCCAGCTCTTCGATGTAGTGATGATAGTTTTGAGTGAGAAATATTACACTTGGCTCTGGAAATTGAAGATATTGATTCTCGGTTTTCAAAACTTCTAAACAAACCAAACCATTGAAATCCTCATCCACCTTAACATTAAGTTTTTTCCAAAGCGAGGGTGTTTCTACCGCATCTCTCCATCGTCTGCATGTTGAGGAGAAACTCATCTTATCACGAGAGGGGAGGAGTTTAAAAATATTCCCCAGAATTTCGTTTGGCAGGGTTGTCCAATCGGGATACTGTTGTGCCATTGTGGACACACCACTTCTGAAGGATTTTGCTCATTCTCCGGTTTGTTGGTTTAACGTGGAGTCCCTTTTGCTCAATGCCGGGCGTTAATTGCGCTTTTTCAATGATTGTACTTTAAATTTTTTTGTGCATCGAATAAATGACGGATTTGGCATAATAATCAGCTGGTTTTTTCATTGTTCATCAATCTGATTCATCCAGCGCCAGCTAGTAGTTTTTGTCAGCATCATACAGGGTTATTGAAATGTTCCGCATAGCTGTAGGATTTTTTCGAAACACTTAGCTTGAACTGGATGAGGTTTTTTGAGAGCGAACAGATATTTCACAGCTGTTTTACATTCCAATTTCAATGGAGTTTGGAATTATTCTCTGTATCATGAACACCTTTTTTTGTTTCCAGGTGACACAATGCAGCTTTCGATAAGTTGGGCTTTAAATTTTCCCTGGAAGATAGGATTGTTGACATGTATTTTATTATATATATCAGTGCATGTAATATTTATGCAATGATCAACGACGCGAAAATATCTTGATTCTGTATTGCGTTATTTCAGTTTCTTGTTTTAATACGAACGTAACAGCAAACATGTAAAACAAGTGTCGTTCTTGTGTGAATTACACCTTCTATTGCCTTGGAACGTAATTTGTTGCATTTATTGGTGTTTTCTTCTGTGAATTTATCTGTTTATTGGTGTGTATCATTCTCTCGATATTTCAAAAAAGATGAATTTTTTGAAGAACTTTGACCATCAATAGCACAGGACCCAGACATTTTTTGCTAATAAAAGTAAGGTCAGATCGTCTTCTTTTGACCCAAAGAATATCGCAGTATACTTTTGATCATGTGCTTACGGGACACCCTGTAGAACACCGTCTCTTTGGAATTTCGTTCCTCTTCGATCAGCAGCTTATCCGTAATAAGTATCTAAACTTTGACTTCCTTGAATGCACATTTTCCGCTGAAAAAAATATTTTTTTTAATGGCACAAATTCACTGTTTTGGTCCAGCTTGAAAATTTTGCTATGATTAAACAATAAGAAAGCAAACTAAACACAAAATCACATGTTCACGTGAAAGTGTTTTTCGGGCTTTGAAGCCGTGGTCCATGGGAAGCACGAAAAACATTTCTATATGTGATTTGACCGTTCGTGAAAGCCTTCATAGTCCGATACACATAAAATATTTGGTGTTTTGTAAAAATATGGATCGTTTTCTAAAGCTTAAATTCTCGATATTTGGATAAAATTTTATGTGGCGGCCACTAATTATTAGAAGCAGTTTAGAAACAATAAAAATAATAAAATTATAGCAACTGTCCACTGTCAATTCCACAGCAGATCTTCTCATAAGGTTGAAAAAAGGTTAGTAATTCTGCTATATTCGGAACTATACATCAACAGGTTTGCCCTCTTGGCTTTTTTTTGTTGCTTTTATTTAGTAACTCTTTTCCGTCAAATTGAGAGTACCATTAGAAATTTATCCATTATTTTAAAACCTTGATTAACTCTTCCTCTGGGATCTTTGTGGGTTGTTCGAACATATTTATTTTCATATATATTAAAAAAAACGTTTTTAAATAAATTTTGAGTCACATATGTACATTTGCAAAAGTTCTTATGATCGATACCCTGGAAACTTTCAATACTTTCATGTAAATATATGACTGATGACTATTTATTTAGCTTGGTTTGTCTATTACAAGAAGATAACTTCTCGCATGTTTACGATTATTTGCCCAATATTTCGGATAATAATTTCCAAACTTCGTCTTATTATGGGGAATTAATTGCATCGCCTACGTGTTCATTGAACAGTATTTTGCTAGTCATTATGGAAAAACCAGTTTCTGAAAAGGAAGAGATGTAATCAACTTGCAGACGTTTTCATCCAATCGGGGATTTTTAGCTCAATACCGGGGTAACGACAATCCATGCCTGGCAGTTTTAAATACGCAATAAATTGTCTCCTTATAAATTTGCCAATTTTGCAACAAACATGGGCTTTATTATGGAATGTAACTAGACTATGCACTGCACATCTTCTCTTGATTCTTCAAAAAACATTGAATTCATTACTCCAGCACCTAACTGACCAGCCTCGGTAATAAACAGTCAACTCGAGCGATAACTATAAACAACGCTTCTGACCTCAATCACTTTAACAATTGAACCCCGACTTAAGAACAAGCACATTGGCAATAATGCTAGTAAAAATTTTATCTGTGATTTTAGCAATTACGTTCATTAACAATGTGGCCAGTGAAATTGGATACGCAGTACCGGAGCCAAAAATCGACATTTTCGATACTAAAGGCTTTAGAGTATCCATTCCGGATGGATTCGGACTGGAACTGTTCGCTTTCCATGGGAAAATTAACGAACCCATGAATGGACTGGAGGCTGGACAGTTTTCGAAGGACATCCTGATGAAATGTGGCGATTTGTGGGTTTTTGAAGATAACACCGAAAAATTGGTGGTTGGAAATACACTTTACTATTGGTTGTTCGTTATCAGGAACAGGTTGGGGCATCGGTATGATAATGGGAAATTTGTTGTTCGAGGTAAGTGCACAGTTTACTTAAGCGTGTGGTGCGGAGTTTTCTTCTGCAGTTTGCATATTGTTGCATGGGAAATTGAATTGCGGATTTTACGCTCTGGTATTAAAAGTTTCCAATTATATCAGAAGCATTTGGTTAATTAAACTTACTACTTCATCTACTTGTTATTTCATGCAATTTTAAGATTATAAATCGAACTTCAATTATTTTTCAGACATAACTAGTTACAGTCCCTTGTCTTGCCAATCTACAGCTACCGAGCCACCTAAAGACTCTTGGATTTTCAACGACACTTACTTGAACAATTTGGAGCACAATCCTTTATTCGATGTTCGGTCACTTGAAGGACTTACTGGCTCTGTGGGTTTGAAAAAATCCGAAAAACGAGACGTTGAAATCTCTGTATGTTGTGACCTATTTTTAAACCTGTCCCATCGTCTGGTGGGTGTGGGTATTGAGAATCAGAAACTCATGGAAGAGAACCGGATTTTAACCGAGCTGGTTGAACGAGATGAGTATTCTGCCAAAAATCTGAGACTGTTTGGGAATTACCCGGAAACCTATTATCCGACTCCAAAAGACTTTGCTCAGAATCTGCTCAGAGAAAAGCTGCAACTTTACAATGTGCGAGTGGTGACAGCGAAAACCATCCCTGGAGATGGCATCAGTTTTACCGTGGAAACTCTAAGAGATAAAATTAATGTAATTTTGGCAGCGAAGTCGGGACTGATGGGTTCGAACTTCGAACTATTATGGTAGATGTTGCATGATTTGCAGGCTTTTCAATTGAAATAAACATATTGAAAATGCTTTCGTTGTTATTGTCCGGTATGCATTTATGTGCAAGATTACGCCATCGTTTGAAATTTGAAAATATCTTTTTGGGCCGCTCTTGGACAAATTGAGCTGGCGCCAATTTTACGCCACTGGATAGAGAATTAAATTCATCGTGGAAACATAGTGGGGAAAATCTTGGCAGTTTCCACGTAAAAAGCGAAAGTTCAACATATGGTCACCGTCATATGAAAAGGCCAGAAAGGGAAATGCTTCAGGAGACAAAAAAACACAGTTTAAACCTATACATATTTTTATGTATGACTTATTTTGCTTAAATATTTAAGCATTTACTAAAATGTTACAAAGGAAACCAAATAAAATGTGGGATTTTAGAAAAATCAGCAGACTTGAGCCAATTTCCCTCGTCATATCATCACTCATGCTGGACTTTATTTAAATTAAAAAATTAATATTAATTCTTTTGCATTCCAACAAGTATGGAAACGAAAAAACCATGAAAATTTTGTTGCCAATACATACACATTAGCGAGAAACACTGGAGTTATATGGACAATCCTGAAATGTGAGTGGCTCTGGTTCGAAAGCCTCTCACCACATAAATAACGGTTTAATTCTTGTTTCTAATTAAAAAAAACCCTTTACTTAAAAGACGCTTTATTTTGTTCTAAGACACCATTTGCATTTTCAGAATTACTGAATTGAGGATGTATTTTTGTGCCTTCCTTCACACAAGTCTTCTGCCTTCAAGAGCCCATTGGAAATATTGGAATGGAAAACTGGCGCCTCATTATCACTTGTATTAAAACAGCTCTTGATATGAAGCTTCAGACCTTGATTCGTGGTGAAACCTTTGCTGCATAATTTACACACATAAGGTTTTTCGCCGGTGTGTCCCCTCAAATGGACCTTGTACGGTGTCCATTGTCTGAAGTTCTTCGCACAATATCCGCAAGTGTATGGACGTTCGCCTGTATGAATTCGCTCATGATAGGTGAGAACGTACTTGTGCTTAAAGGCTTTTCCACATTCCTTGCACTCAAACGGTCTATGTTCTGTATGGGAGATTTTGTGCTTTTTTAAGTTATCACTGTCCTTAAATCCCTGTCCGCATATATCGCACAGGCATTTCTTCTCCACCGTTTTCGTTTGCTTCTTAATATGAGCCTTATCTATGTGATATTTTAGCAGGTTTAAAGTCTTAAATTCCATTCTGCATGTGTTGCACCAGAGAAGAGATGGATCATTCAAAATATCGGCTTTGTGCATGCAAATCTGGTGCCGCAGCAGTGCCTTTGCCCCGAAATACATATTTTTGCATACTATGCAGGTGGTTTTCTTGGTTTCGTCGTGTCGGAGCATGTGCTTGCGAAAATTCGCTCGATTGTTGAATGTTTTTTCGCATTTCTGGCATACATTTGTGTCCATGTGGCTGGATGTTAAATGGCTCAACAGCTTCTTGGTCGTATCGGCTTTAAAAGAACACATTGGACAGGGGATTTTATTCGCTTCCGGGTGATTTTCCATATGACAAAACAGTGCTCGAAGCGACTTGAATTTTCCCGTACATCTTAAGCAAGCGAAATTCTGCTGTTTGTGAACCGTTATGTGCTTTTCCGCTTCAGAACTGAACTGAAACTCGGCTGAACACGTTTGGCAAATATACAAATCCGATTCCTCGTCATGTTGGTACGTGTGCTCTTCGTCAGGCTCTAGAGAACCATGCTGCTTTTGATGCATCTTCAGCTCCTTTACTGTTAAGAATGTTTTAGAGCATTTACTGCATTCGCGTGGCACTCGATATGGCCTTCGTTTGGGGGCTTCAAAATTTTTCATGCCGCATTGCTGTCGATGTTTCGCCAAGAATGTCCTGGATGAATAGTTTTTGTCGCAAGTGGAACATGAATATCGCGCTGGTTTTGCTTGATTCGATACTTTTTGGCTCTTGAGTTCTGCAGCGTTTCGGGATTTTCTATAGCGGCTCTTTATTCGTAACCTAAAAAAATTATTCGTGTTAGAGCCAAAGTGGACTTTGATAGCTTGATTAAAGATTTTTAAGTTTGCTAAAACATTTGTTATGTAATATAGGTAGTATATTTTGAATTTTATATTTGTTCGTAGGGCATTAAACAGTTTTGGACCAATATAAGTTATGAATTTTCGGTACAGGTTTCTCAACACTTTAGAAAGACTCAGGTCAATGCTTCTTAAGCTTCTAATTGGTTGGTGGTTCACATACAGAAAATTATTTACGTTATACATTTGTATAATTGTAGATTCCATATAAATTGTTTGTGTCAAATATATGCGCTAGCTATATGCTATCTGTTACAAATTTTTTTATATGTATATATACAGTGAATGTGTTGAGAAAACACTTTGCAAACAATCATCATAGCTTTTAAGATTTTCAACCGTTTGCATTTTCCGAGATGCAGCTTTTATCGAAAATAGTGCGTTTTTTAACAAATTTCCAAAACGATATAAACAGAGTTCTGCAGAACATTTATACTGACAATAAGCGTTTTCAAGCAAGTTTTCTGAACAAAATTGCGACCTTAATTGCACAAATAAAACACTGATCATTTGTCTTGAAAAATCGTCTTTTGGGCATTCAAACTCTTTCAAGATTTTCAACCGATTGCAGTTTTGCGAACGAATTTTCAATGACCCGAATCGGGCCCATAGAAAAGGGTTTCTATGACCCCCATAACCCTCCTTCTGGATGCGCTCTTGTGACTGATCTACCCGATATTGGTCGTAGAAAGTTTGAAACTTTGACCGAGAAAACATGACTATTTAGACACCCTGTACAATTTTTCTTTGGTTATCTTGGAATTTTAAATTGCAAATATCACAGTGAAAAGGAAAGAGATCCGAATGAATGAATGAATGTGTACGTAATTCGGCTGAGGATAAAAAGCTTTGATGACATGTCTTGCATTCATGCTGCTTTTGCTTCGTATGCTTATTCTGATGACTAATTAAGTAAGATTTCTTTTTGAGCTTTCCCGGGCAAATTCGCCTTCGAACGGGCGCTTGCTTGAGTGACTAACCCTAATATATTTCAGGTTGCTTAAAGATAACAAAAAACGTTTAAGGCAAATATCACAATCGTACTGCTTTGCCCTTGTATTCTTGTTAAGATAATCAGTTAACTGATGTTTTAGTTTAAATTGCAAAAATTGCAAAAATCGCATTCGAAAGAGCGTTTCTCTGAACGAGTCGTTTTAATATGATGGCTCAAGCGCTTGAGGACGAAATCTCTTTCCGGGAAATTTGGCATTGGAATAGCTTTTTCCAATGCTTGCTTAAAAGACCGGTTGTCCGAATGTGTGATCAAATGCGATTTTAAAGCTTTTAACTCAAAATCAAAATTAATTCCTGGGTTTCAGTCTTTATTTATCAATTAAAATACGTTTCGGTGTATTTTTCCACCATCATCAGTTTTTTCCTGTAGCGTTGTTGCTGCTTTAAGCCTTGGCATACATTTTTAGAATTACATATTTACAGAAAATGTATGCAAGGCTTAAAGCAGCAACAACGCTACACAAAAAAACTGATGATGGTGGAAAAATACACCGAAACGTATTTTAATTGATAAATAAAGACTGAAACCCAGGAATTAATTTTGATTTGGAATTGAAACACAGTCAGGAAAGTATATACAATGAAAGCTTTTAACGTCAGAAAGGTTTCAGTACAAATTTTACAGAGACAGGGATTTGCCTTCAAATTTAATTTTTGATGGGTTTTAAAAGATTCCAAACTTGTCCCAATTAATGTATTGAGCATCGTTTGCTTTCTTTCTTATTTTACCGGTTGCAACAGCCCGTGTTCTTCGATTTTTTTTCAGGGCGTCTTGCAACTATTAAAAAGAAGACATCTAAAAATGTAGATAGTCAGCTGATAGCAGGTTGCATTTACCTACCTTGAAACGCTTTTACTAAGGCTTATATTGGTTTACAGAATAGCATTCGGTTATTTAATACTTTTCTGAGTTGCTTCTTCAGCAAAATTCATTGAAGTACCAAAAAGCTGAAATCCTCTTTCGAGCTTTAGGTGCAGATCTACGGATAATCCCGTATTCTTATCAGCTAATATTACAATCGCTTCAGGTTGCTTTGAAACTATTAATTTTCATTCTATTTCTTATATTTCACTATATTATTACATAACTGCTAAATTACACTTCATTTTCTAATAATATATCAACTGCTACAGAGATGTTTTGGAGTAACAAATTTCTATAATTGTGTCAGTTATTCGAAACAGTTAAAAAATGTTTAAACAAGTATTTCCTTAGAATTAACTTAACCAAAACCCTTAGATCCTTAGAATTAACCCAAACCTATTTTCCTCATGTTAATGAAAGTTAAGGTGCCATAAAAGGTAAAGGATTTTCTAATGGGATGATACATTGAATCAAATTTAAAAGAGCATTTGAACTCTCACTCAGATCATCATAACCCGTTACTTCTCCAGATCACAACTTTGCGTTTCTTTAAAAAAGCTCAAGTTTACATTCTTTCAACATTGTGTGGACTCAACAAGTGAAGAAACTTGACCATCAAAAGCGTCGCTTGTTTGCAGTTTCAGCTTTAAAGCGCCTTATTAATTAAATGAATCCAAAGTTGCTTTTCAACAAAATCGTGTATTCTGATGAAGCACATTTTTACGATTAATCAAAATTGTCGTTTTTGGTGTGAAAAGAATTCGCAACAGGTCTGTGAGAACAAACCTCGAACCACTGGTGAGTTGAAATTAAATCGCTGCATTGTTGAAAATAGAGCCGATTTATCGAATCTGCTTCTGTAGTCCAAGCCGAGAAGGACGAGAAGGTTGAATTATGTGTTATTCAGAACAAAAAGGACTACATTTTTGGATATCAGCCTTATTGGAAAACCCTTTATTATTTGGGATGTTAATTTATTATGTTAATGTTATGTATTGTTTGTTAATTTGTTATTTTATAAAGTCGTTTCTTATGTTCTCTAAATTGCAGGTTCGGAATGCACGGCACGACAATGTTGGAGTAATGTATCTTTCAGTTTGAATTGTATATTGCAAATATCGCATTGCAGAGGACCTTCCTCGGAATGAGTTTTCAAATGATCTTTATAGAAACGTTCAATAACAAACGTTTTATCGCATATGCTGCAGGTGTATTCCGTTAGAATCATATGATTATTTCGATGCTTAACCAGTTGGTATCTTTTCTTAAATTTAGAACTGCAAATATCACATGCATAAGGGCGTTGGTCCGAATGTGTTTTCATATGAAAAAATAATTCCGAATGTAAGACAAAGGTTTTATTGCAAATGTCACAGTTGAATTGTCTTTTTTTCGTGTGCGTGTTATGATGAATTGTTAATTGCCTGATTCGTTTAAATTTTAAACCGCAAATATCGCATTCGAAAGGGTGATTTTCTGAATGTCTGGCCAAATGAACATCTAAGTTTGATTTATCAGCAAAAAATGCCCAACAAAAATTGCACTTATATTTTTTTAGTTTAGTCCTCGCAGCTTGTGGATCTGTGGTTTGAGTGCTACTTAGATTACTGGTTAGTTCGTCTTCAGTTTTTATCAGCACCGGCAATTCTTCCTCTTCAGCTGTAATTTTCCCACCCTGCGCGTGACACTCATTTAAATGCATATTTAACTTTGACTTATTTATAAAACATCTCGAGCAAATATTACAAGAGTGTTGATTATTTATTTGAGCAGCATTCGCAGCTTGTTCATGTGCGGTTTCACTGCTACTCAGATTACTACTGGCTTCGTCTTCAGTTTTTACCCGCACAAACAAGTCCTGCTCTTCAATTTTAATTTTCCCAACTTCTGCATGACACTCATTTAAATGAATGTTAAAGTTTGACTTATTTATAAAACAAATCGAGCAAATACTACAGTAATGTTGATTTACTTGAGCAGCATTCGCAGCTTGTTCATATGTAGACTCACTACTGGCTTCGTCTTCAATTTTTACCAGGCCGGACAAGTCCTGTTCTTCAATTTTAATTTCTTCCTTTACTTGCATATAAAAGTTCGGCTGCATTCCAACGCAATATCTACAAATAAAAATTCAAAATCAGCGAAACGATTGAAGACTTAATTCTGATCTTGATGATGGGGCAAATATTTCTTCAGGTCTGTTTCAATATTTACATAATAATAATAATGAAACACCAGCTTATATTTCTTAAAAGTTTTATTAATTTTGATACCATTTTATGTTTAATCCTCAGTAAATATGTGTCGGCTACAAATAACATACTTTAATTTATTGTAAATGTATAACTAAATAGAAAAAATATAATTCAAACGAAATGTAAAAACTAAAACGGTATCCTTTTTCCCCAAGGTCTTGATCCATATGATTTTATGATATTTGGAAATTTGATAATACCATAATTTAGAAATAATACAAAAAGAACATTTTTGCGATGCAAATAGCAGATAATGCAGGAAGTAAAAGCACTAATTGCGTTCCTTAAAATCATCTAGTAACAAGTAACGCAGATTATAACAGTCATACATAGGTACTACGCCGATACTTTCACAGTCTTTTTATCAATGTTTTATGATTTATTCGAATTTTTTTGCTCAATTTGATTTTGCTTGATTCGTTGCACGGTATGTGCGTTATTAGCATGTGGGCGAAATCTACGTCTCTTTTTTAAACTTTTATTGCAAATATTACTACAAATATAGACTACCTAAAATGCCACAGTCTATTTGCAGATTGTCTAAATTATTCTGCAAAGCGAGAAGAAGCAAATAATTTGCAAATTTTCGGATTTTGTAGAGCGCCGGTAACATCGGCATGTGTTTGTTTACTTTATTACTTGTTTTAAAAATAGCGAAATACTAACCCCTTTATCAGTCTTATTCTTATTTGACGATTTTTATATCATTTCAGATTTTTTTCGGTAATGAGGACAAATCGGTAATCCGAACACACCGGGTGCATTCAATTGACCGGATTAAAGATGTTCCATATTTTCAATTCTATACAGGGTGGCCATTTTCTGAATCTTTGTACTTCGGTAACTTCTACATTTATAAAGATAAAGAATCCGTTAGATGGCAAAATTGGGCAGAATTCGATTGCCTATTCATTACTGTTTTTAAAATTTGGCTATCCGACTTGGTTCCTGAAATATCCTGAAAATGCAAGAAATCAACACTTTTTTAATTATCATATAATTCGTAAACTGTTTAAGTTATAAAAAAAGTTAAAATTGTTTGTGGTAGAAATTTTTGCGTTGAATCCAAAGTTGTACTAAGGGCAGTTTTAATTTTTTTTCTGAGCTAAACAGTTTATGTATTAAGTGATAATTAAAAAAGTGTTGATTTATTTCCTTTTCAGGATATTTCAGGAACCAAGTCGGGCACCTAAATTTTGAAAACGCTAATGAATAGGCAATCGAATTCTGCCCAATTTTGCCCATTTAACGGATTCTCTATCTTTAAAAATGTAAAAGTTACTCATACAAAGATTCAGAAAATGGCCACCCTATATTTTTATAGTTCAATTTGTTTCTTCTTTGATTGGCTGAACGAAATGTTTGGTACTATTAACATGTCGGTTTAAAGTTTTTTTCATTTTAAATGTTTTGTTGCAAATATGGCATTGAAAAGGCCGTTTGTCCGAATGCGATACCAAATGCATACGCAATCTATCGGCAGAATAGAAAATTTTAATACACATCTTACACTTGAACTCTCTTTCTTTCGTATGCTTGTTACGATGAATGTTTAAGTAGTCTTTTGACTTAAATGTTGAATTGCAAAACTCGCATTGAAATGGCCGTTGATCCGAGTGAGACTTCAAATGATAGTTGAAATTATTTAGATATAAATACGTTTTATTACAAATTGTACAGCTGTATTGCTTTTCTTTTGTATGTTTGTTTCGGTGAACATATAATTCACCTGATCTTTTGAATAACGCATTGCATATATCGCACTGAAAAGGGCGGTTATCTGAATGACTTTTCATATGATCATTTAATTTAGAGTTTCTACCAAATGCTTTATTGCAAATCTTGCACATGTGTTGGTTTCCTTTAGTATGAATATTTCGATGCTCAGTTAGGTCAGACTTTAGCTTAGATTTAAAATCGCAAAAATCGCATTCATAAAGAAGCGTGTCTGAATGCGTTTTCAAATGGTCATCTAAATTTGAAATTAACAAAGTTGTAGCACAAATCTGACAAGTGTACTGTTCATTTTTCGTGTGTCTCTTTTGATGAATCTGTAGGAACCTTTTTTGCTTATACTTTAAACCGCAAATATTGCATTGGAAAGGCCCACGGTCTGCATGGCACTTTTTTAAATGAATATTTAACTTTGATTCATTCATAAAGGATATCGAGCAAATATTACAGTTATGTTGATTTATTTCAGCAGCCTTCGCAGCTTGTTTAGATGTGTTTTCACTGCTACGTGGATCACTACTAGCTTCGTCTTCAATTTTTATCAGCACGGATAAGTCTTGTTCTTCAATTGTAATTTCTTCCTTTACTGGCATATAAAAGCCCGGTGTCATATGAAATGAATATCTATAAAGCAAATTACATAATTAGCAGAAAATATTTAAAACTTCATTCTGAACTTTAGCTAATCTACAATTATTTAAGGAGCAAACATTTATTGTTCTAATGTTTCAATCTTTACATACTTGAATAATAATAAAACACAATTAAAAATATCGAAAACTATTTTATGTCTTTTCCTCAGTAAATCATATACTGTAATTTGCTATAGATAATTCTAATATAATTAAAAATAAACGTCTCAAGATCGAGAAATAATTAGAAACGACAGTACAACCAGCACAGAATGTAGGCGTTGAAAAAGCACGGAACGCTTTAAAAACCAAAATACCAAAGATGCGAGAAGAAGACATGAGAAAACGCAAATGCAAAATAAACTGAATAAAACAATTAGGAAAAAGTGCAGAGAAACTATAAGAAAATTGGATGTCAACAAAATGCCGGGAAATTGAACCATTTCAGGCAAGATATGCCACTTTTAATGTTCGCAAGAGAGTAAAAGAAATGACAGGCGGACACAAAAAGCGGCAAGAAAGAACTTTAAGAAACGATAATAAGAAAATAATGCCAGGGACAGAAAACAAACTGGCGAGATGGAAATAATTCATCGAAACACTTTAAAACGCAAATAAGACTCAGATAATGCTTTGTCCCTGTCTTCTCTACCGGTACGAAAGCGGAAAATAGACTCACAAACAGAGAACATAATATAAGCTTATTTTCACTTCTTATTTTTTTTTTGATAAATTCGACTTTTTTTAGGCTGCTTGTTCGAAATGCCTGGCACGAGCATGTCGCCGTAATGAATCTTTAATTTTAAATGTTTTGTCGCAAAAATCGCATTGAAAAGGCCGTTTGTCCGAATGCGTAACCAAATGTCTACTCAATTTTCCCACAAAATAGAAAATTTTATTACATATCTCACACTTGTACTCTTTTTCTTTCGTATGCTTGTTTAGATGAATGTTTAAGTACTTCTTTGTTTTAAATGTTGAATTGCAAAACTTGCATTGAAATGGCCGTTGATCTGAGTGAGAGTTCAAATGATATCTGAAATTCCTTAGAAATAAAAACGTTTTATTACATATTTCACAGCTGTACTGTTTTTCTTTTGTATGTGTGTTTCGATGAGCGTTTAAGTTGCCTTTTGATTTAAATGTTGAATTGCAAAACTCGCATTGATGTTTCCGTTGATCTGAGTGAGAATCCAAATGCTCTTTTAAACTGTGTGGATGTAGAAACGTTAGATTACAAATCTTACATCTGTACTGTTTTTCTTTTGCATGATTATTTCGGTGAACAGTTAAATTACTTTTTCTTTTGAAATCCGAATTGCAAATATTACATTTAAAAGGACCTTTATCTGAGTGAGTTGTCAAATGAGAATCTAATTGTGCTTTTATAGGAAATGTTTTGTAACAGATATTGCACGTGTATTGATTTGCATTAGCATGAATATTTCGATGTTCAGTTAGGTCAGACTTTAGCTTGCATTTAAAATCGCAAAAATCACATGCATAAAAGAGAGTGTCTGAATGCGTTTTCAAATGGTCCTCTAAATTAGAATACAACAAAGTTTTACTACAAATCTGACAAGTGTACTGTTCATTTTTCGTATGTTTCTTTTGATGAATCTGCAGGTACCTTTTTTGCTTACACATTAAACCGCAAATATTGCATTGGAAAGGCCCACCTTCTGCATGACACTCATTTAAATGACTATTTAAATTTGACTTATTTATAAAACATCTCGAGCAAATATTACAGGAGTGTTGATTTATTTGAGCAGCATTCACAGCTGGTTCATATGTAGTTTCACTGCTTCTTCGATCACTACTGGCTTCCTCTTCCATTTTTACCAGCGCAGGTAAGTCTTGCTCTTCAATCGTAATTTCTTCCTTTACTTGAATATAAAAGTCCGCCTTCATACCAACTGAATATCTAAAAATCAAATTACATAATTAGCGAAAAATATTCTTCAGAAGACTTCATTCTGAACTTATCAGCGCATCTTTAGCTAATTGAATAATAATAAAACACCAGCTTATATTTCACAATAGTTTATTCATTCAAAACATCGAAAATATTCACATAGTGAATCACATACTTTATTGAACTATAGATATTATAATATAATTAAATCTAAATGCCCGATAAGAAAATAAACGTCTTAAGATCGAGAAAGAATTAGAAACTACAATGCAACCAGCACAGAATGTAGACGATGACAAAACATGGAATGCTTTAAAAATTAAAATACCAAAGATGCAAGACGAAAACATTAGAAAACGCAAATTGAACCATTTCAGGCAAGAGACGAGAGCAAAAGAAATGACAGGTGGACACAAAAAGCGACAAGAAACAATTTTAAGAAAAAATAATAACGAAATAAAGCCAGGGACAGGAAACAAACTTGCGAGATGGAAATAATTCCTCCAAACACTTTTCGACGACAATAGACCTTGTGATCGACCACCCCCAGACAATGAGATCAATGAAAAAGGACAAGAAATAACCAAAGAATAAGTTACTCATGCAATAAAGACACAAAAAAATGGAAAATCTGGCGGTCCTGACGAAATCATCGTCAAAATGCTTAAATTAATCGCTGAAAACGAAAGCTAATGCCTAGACGTAATACGCTACTATTCAATACGATATACCGTGTGAGTGTCTATGTTGTTTAGATTATTATGTTTCTTAGATTAAGCTGAAAAAATGTAGCGTTTTCAGTTGCGGTACAGATGTAGAACATTATGA